CTTCTTCTTCCTCCCTTTGTCATTACTTCTATTTTTCTTTCTACTCACTCTTTCTCTTCCCCCATCTTTCTTTCCCCACTTCCCTCCTCTCTTTATTCTCCTTTTCCTCCTCCTCCCCCTCCCTTCAATGATATTGGCAAAAAAACTTTGAAGTGTTCCTTATACCTCCTGTGTCTAGCCCCATTCTGTGGTGTGGGGTCTACATGATACAGACTCAGAGAAAAGTTGTCCCCACAAAGAGAGCTCTTGTATCCAGGCTGATGGATGAGGGCGACACCCTGGTTCCCATTTCTCTGGCTGTACTTTCCTCTCTGTAGATGTGGATCTGGAAAGAAAGGAGAGATTGGTTTGCAGATTAGACTTGGGCTACTTGATGGCTGGCCATGGCAGGAATTGTTACCATAGCCCTGTGCGTGACTTATTTGAAAGTACTCTTCTGTACTTTCACAGCACTCTAAATGATTCTTAGTGCACTTAAGTCATTATTCTGAAACTTGTTGCTTTTAAGTGTTTTTCTCCCTTGCTCACTTGCAGTGGGTACCTAGAGGACAGGGATCATATTATCATTGTTTCTGAGCATCCCCTTTCTCCTTCATAAATATGTGCCTGAATCTTTATTAAATACATTATAATAATATATTTAATAAAGTGAAGCCATTATAAGCAATAAGAAAGAACTGTATTTACCTACAGGAGTTATACATGTTTACACACATTTGGAAAAAATAAAATTGTGAATCAAACGTAGAATGTCATTTTGACAGATATACTCACCCTCCTCCTAGGACACAGTGTGGAAACCCAGACACCACACCATTAACCATAGTCACCTCTGAGAGTGACTCTGGAGAGCACTGGAGGAGAGAGTGGGAAAGCTCACCAATGGGTTCCAGGGAGCACAGCCCAGCTGTCTCTCCATCGTGGCCCTCAGAAGACGGAGGGTTCTGTGCACTCCTGCCTTTTAACTCACCCACTCCTTCAGGGTGCAAAGTCAGAGAAGAGAGGGGTGCCCCAGACATCGTGCTCCTGAAGCCAGCATGGTTGACCAGTTGCTTAAACGGTGGCTCTTGCCCTGGACTTGCTCCTTTCTCTCATTCTCTTTGTCTCATCAAATATCCCTCCTCTCCACTGAACTCAGGTTCAGGCCTTGGTCTGTGCTGTCCTGCATTGCTGTCCTCTGATATTCTTCTGTTGTCTACTGATGCTGGAATGATTTCTGATCACATTACATCCATCAGCAGCTGCCACCACCTTCATGATAAGAAGAAGCCTCCCACAGCTGTTCCATCCCCAGGGTCACCTTCTGACATCCTCTCATCCTGAATCAGTCCATGGCCACTCCTGTCAGGGTTCTGACTTTTTGTCACCATGTGCCTGTTTTCTCATCTTTATCCTCCTGAGTGCTGTGATCTCCTTTTCTCTGTATTTAAAACCCCTACTCATCCTCAGAGAGTCAGCTTATCCCCCAGCTCCTCTTCTTCCTGGATCTGATCACATGGCCCTTTATGTGTGGACCTCACCTGACACTGAATATTTATCAGTCCTGTGGCCAGACCACTGGATGGGACCTGTTTGTTTATACTTGTCTTTTCAGCTAGTCAGGGAGCTCCTTGGAGCAAGGGTTCATATGTGATTCATTTTTTTATATTCCTAGTTTGTAAAAACAGAACTTGGCACCCATTCTTATGTCCTCAGAAAGGGCCGTGGTGGTTGTAGGAATGAATGTGACTGTGCTTTTAAGCTGTAAATCGATACATACGTGTAAGTCATTCTAGTTCCAGTGGCATCCCAAATGTAATACATCGCAGGTGACTACTTTCTGGAAAAGACAGAGGAATTGGAAAAATGGAAAATCCGCCCCTCCCCCAAAAAAATTCAATCGCTCTATCAACGTGGAAGCACTAACAGCAGCTAGACCAAAAAGCACCAACTTTACAGCCACCAGGTACAATTCTGAGATATGAGCAAGAGGACTTGGGAACAGAAACCTTCCCCTTTTCATTTTGTTTCTACGATGGGAGTATGTGCAAGCCAGAGGAGCGTGGAAGGGAGGAAGTATATAAAGTGTAGATAGATGATAGACACTCTCATTGTAAAGAACTCTTTTTCTTGTTATGGTTTTTCTTCATTACCATGCTAACCAGGCAAGCACATTTGAAATGTGATTTGAGAGAAAAACCAGGGATGGAGGGGTGATTAAATTCTTTCAGGGCATCTTACAGAAATAAGATAAGTTTCCATGGTCCCTGAATTTGCCTTCTGTCCAGGGAATCTCTATAGAACTTTGTATGGTGTAGAAAAGTAGAGAGGTCTACCGTGCCCTTGTGGACTGTTATCTAGACAAGGGATTTTCCAGATCTCTACAGTTAGGGACAGTGTACGTGTGCTTGTGTGTGTATGTGTGCATGCACAGACACGTGTATTTTCTTCCAACCTGTGACACTCAGATGCTTTTGTAAAATAGGATAAAAAAATGAATTACTAGAAAAATTCAAACAAAAAAGAGTAAGACACATCAAATACAAGTACATACTTAGTCTCCATTTCTGTGCTTATCTTATTAGAGATTAGAAACAAATAATTTGCAAACTGGTTCCTTCCCATTTACCACACTTTGATAGCATCAAGTTGGGCTCTACTTGGATATTTCCAACAACAACAGTTCAGGAAATGAAAAGTTAATGGGAGTAGGACAGTCATGTACAAATCTTATATTGGTGGAGAGCTTAAGGACATAAACTAATTAACAGATAAATACTTGAAAGGAAATTTTAAAACTACTCCAATAGTGGAAAGGCTTTTTCTTTTTTGAATGTATCTTGCTGTCCTCTCCTTCCCCTTTGATCCTCTCAGAGAATACTTATTTTCAGTGCTAAAGTTTTAATTGATCCTTCATTGGGAACAGCAGGGTAACCAACAGGTTCTGACATGCCAATAAAATTAATAATGGAATGCAGGCACTAATAAATTTCAGTGGTCTCCTTGCTCCGTTGTTTTGAGCACAGAATGAGCTTTTACCACCGAGCTTCAGACCTCTCGTTTTGGCCTTAGTTGTTTACAGCGGCCAGTGTGGCACATTAAGAGTTCAGTAACTGGTTCAAGGGTAAAGTATCATATTTAAAAGACTGGATTATGATGAGTAGAGAGAACAAATTGTGGCCAGATGACTTTGATCTATTATCTAGAGTGACCTCCAAATATTTGGACTCCTAAAGGTCTGTATCATGGACTCTGAAGATTTGAAACTCTTTCCATTGGAGATGGGCCATCATTTGCTGGAAGGGGGCCATGCTTCTTTGTCTATAACCCCAGATGAAGTTCTTCAAGCTCTTTAACTCAGTCTTTCTCTCAAGTGAAAAATGTAGTCTTGGGTTTCTGCAAGTGAGAAAAAGGATTGTCCATTGTCTTAAAGCCACAGCACAGAGCGTCTGCAGCCAGCCAGGTGAAAGCGGCGTCACACACTGTCTCAGATCCACCTCTCAGCGTGCTGTCTCGGTGTGGATCATGCCTGTCCACCTTCTTTCGTTTTACCACCTTAAGTTTGCATGTAAATATCCTTTTAAAATGTCCAGTGAAGTATTAAGCCATTATCAACTGTAAGCACTGATAGCAGGCTGAGTGTTAGTCCATCCTTTGTACTATGGGAAATGTAACAGAAATATTGATGAATATTTTTTAAGGAAGTGAAGGTTTTATGTGTTGTTCAAAATCTGCTTTTACTTCAGTTCTCCCCTTCCTTAGCTTCTCTGCCTTGAGCCCTAGCTCTGTTTCCTGTGCAGGTGCACAAACTCCTTGTCATTGCCTTTATGTACAGTAAGGACAACTGGCTTTGCCATTGTGGGCTTTTACTGCCAAGCACGCATGTGAATCTAGTTTTGCAAGCATTGGTTCATATGTGGTAGGTTTTGTTTATTTTTTAGTATGAGAGAAATATAGTGGAAAGGTGTTTGATGCCCTGTGAGACGTGCTGCATACGAGCGAACGTTACTAATGAAGGCTTTGCCTTTTATTGAAGGAATGTGAGGAGGAGAAGTGTAGGGAACATTCTCAGCCTCACCTTTGGCTCATTGCATCTGAATGCTGCCGTGATTGCCATTGCACGTGGGATGTGGTCATGGACGGGACCCGCAGTCAGGCTTCCCCTCCCCATGTTACCTTTGGGAGGCAGCCATGCTGCCTTGTACAGCTCTGGGCAGGGGGTTGCATTTCTTTTTTATTTTACGTTATTTCAGCTGTTCTCACTTTTTTCTTTATTGTATTCTTGTCCCCTACTGAGTTCTTTCTCCAGCCCTGCTGGGAGGGAGGAAGGCTCAGTGAGGAACTCTTTAGCACACAAGTGCTTCAGATCTTTCTCAGTCTTCTCATGGCAGTTTAGCCATCAACTTACCCACTGTGGCTCTGAGCACATGCTAGATATGTTTGAGGGCTGTTTCTATCTTAAAACGTGTAAAATTATTTCAGTTTCTCCATGGCTTATTAATATAGTCTATCACACAGCAGAACTGAATTATGTGCTTTTGTAAAAACAAAATAGTAAATTTGTATTTGAGGGACAATTTGGTTCCATGCTTTAACAACTGATATCTTTGTGACTCAAAGGTTATGTTTAAGACAATTTTGTCACATCTCAGGATTTTTGTTTCTGTGGCCTGCCACATGAATTTTGGAATCAGTTTTCATCATAAAAATTAGCCACGAAAACGGGGGGTGACGTTCATGCCAACATTGTGGGTGGCTCTAATCACTGCCCACTCAAGGGAACTCCGACACATTTGGGGGGTACAGACTTTATACCATACTCTTTCTTCTCACTAAAACTCTATAAATAGATAAATATTGTAGTCATTAATGAGAGAGCAACTCTGCTCTTGTGGGAGAGGTAATGAGCACATTAGTGTCATAATTATTTGAAATTGAGATGAACTTTTCATCTCTCATAATTAAAGATGACTTGGAAAAGGTCAGGAATGTTGAAGGCATCTTTCTTGTTGACTTCACAGGATTACCTTGACTGCATCAGGGACCAAACAAAACTTCCCCTGGGAACTGAAGACAGATCCGCCCTTTTTGGAAACATACAGGATATCTACCACTTCAATAGGTGAGTTGATACTAAAAGATTGTTCTCGCATGGGAACGTTAAGAATTTCACTGAAATGGACGCAGCTTACGAAAACTTTACCGTGATCCCTGACTAAGCCTTGTACTTGTTGTTTTGAGACCACTCGGTCTCCTGAGTGCTGAGATTACAGATGTGTGCTACCAACCCCCAGCTAAGCTTTATGCATTCCTATGGGCCATGGCACCATTATGTTTTCTAGCTGGAAGCTTCCTTGTTTCCTATACGGTTCTCACATTTGGTCAGTATTCGATCCCTCTCCATCCTCCTGGCTCAGAGAAGAAATCTACTCGCCCTGGTGGGACAGTCAAATCTTTTTCCACAACAGGACATAAGAGGACATCCAGTATACATGCTTGCATGGTTTCTAGCACTCCCACCTACACTGGATTTCCTATCCATTTATTTCTGCCTAGGGAGTAGACTGGATACAATAAACACAGTAAATCCTATAAGTTATAAATATGCTAATTCCATTTAATTACTTAATAATTAATCATTTCAAGTAATTTAACTCAGACAAGTATTAGATATCTAGGAGGTAGGAGGCACTAGGCTAGAAAATCACACTAGTAAACAAGACAGGAGATAAATGAGATAGGAATGAGTAAGTTTTTATAACAGATTGTGAAATCTCTGGGAAGACAAATTTGTAGGCAGACCAAGAGCATGGCTGCTGGTGTTCAGCATACAAGGATTTGTATCCCAGCTAAGCTGTGTCTGTGGGAGAGTCTTAAACCTAAATAGAATCCTGACTCCCTCACTTCAAGTCTCTGCTCAAACCTTACCTTCTAGGTGAGTCTTGCCAGCCTCCACACGCACACACACCCACCTCCTGTACTTTCTCCCATGGCGCCCATCATGGCGCTGTGATGGACTGTTGGATCACATCTGCTGCTTCTTTCTCCACCCCACTCACAGAACCCTCTAGCAAGACAGGGATTGGTTGTTTTGTTACTGTCCCTGGGTCTAAAATAGCTTGTAGCCCGTAGGAGACATGCATGCGTTCTCTGATTGAATGAGTGGGAATACTAGGGAGCCCTGGTGGCCCTGGTGAAGCTCACTGAGCTGACACACTTAAAGGGGCCAGAGCAGAGCAAGCACTGAAATGTTGCCAGTCATGACGTGGATTGTGTTAGAGTAAAATACCATTATAAAATTGTACCCTCAGTCAGGCTCTGGTGGCTCACACTTGTAATCCTAGTTACTTGGGAGGGAGGTTGCAATTCAGAGGATCGGAGTTCAAGGCCAGCCCAGTCAAATAGTTCACAAGATTCCAATTCTAAAATGACCAGAGCAAAATGGACTGGAGCTATGACTGAAGTGGTAGAGTGCCTACTTTGTATGTGCAAAGCACTGAGTTCAAACCTCAGTCCCACCAAAACAAACAAAAAACCCCACCAAATATTGCACCCTGCTCTGCCCTTTTGTAACTCAACTGTGATGCAAGACCAATTCTACCCTCTTTGCTTCCTAAGCTCACAAAGGTGGGACCCTAGAGGGCACAATTCCCATCTCCTTCACTACTTTGAGTCCCTGTCCCCTAGCACCAGCCTGGCGTTCAGCAGACAGGTTCTCAGAGTTGAATTGATTCATCCTTTGATTCTGAAAGTCCAGGATGTAGGACACGCCAGTGCTGCATCAGGGTTTCTTTGCCACTCTGTAGATTAAAAACCAGTTCGTGTATCGAGTCCATGATTCTCCACCTGGACCACACACTGGAATCAGTTGGGAAGCTTTTGGATCCTCCTACCAGAAATCCTGACTCATTGGTCCTGGGTAGGACTGGGGCATCCGAGCTTTTCAAAGGTCCTCAAATGTGTGTAATATGCAGCATGGTGGAGAAGCACTGTCTATATAAACACAATGATAAAAAGGCGGAGAGAGTCCAGAGCCCCCATGTTCATTAGTGATGGGCTGTGTTTATTTAGGGTCCCATTTAGCAGTCACTGGTGATAAAATCCCTTGAGCCCTTGTGTGGCTTTGCACCATAGCCCGCTAATGACCCTATACCCCAGGAAAGGGCAACAGGGCTACATGCGGGGAGGCCTCTGGCCTAGGGCCCTATGCTTTGGCTGTAAGTCGATGGTAATAAGTAGATACAGAGCATGTCCTTCATGCCAGAGGCCAGAGGACCTTAGGTACATTGTCACCTCATGTGCACCGTCCGGGGCCCGCTGGCTCCAAATCCCAGGCATTCTGCCATGTGCCCTCCTGCCAGACTGGAGCCTGCTTTTGAAGCCATGTTCATGAAGTGTGGCTGACTGTGGAGGGATGTATTCCATGGAACTTAAATGTTCTTGTGTCTCCTAATTTAAAGAGAAATAAAAATGAGTTAGCCAGACGTGATTCAGCCTGTGAAAGTTGGATGATTGGGAAGACTTTTATGTTTCTGAACCCATTCTCTGTTCTTTTCTATTGGATGTTCATTGACCCGGGAAGTCAGACCTGTCTAAAATATACCTGAGTCAGAGGGAGTGAGTACCCTGAGGGTGACACATACATGGAACATTGATGCGGTGATACGATTACAAATGACCTTGTTCATGCTTGTCTCTGTGAGATCACATTTGCACTTTCCCTGTTCATACATTTCCTCATTTAATCCTGTCATGAGCCCAGTGCTATTGTACATTATTCTATCATACATGAGGCTATTATACACTCTACACACATTTTACAGAGGAGGAAAGTCCCATGCTCAAAGACATAGGGCTGGAAATCCAGTCTGGTCCGCTTTGATTATTTACTTTTGTCACATCACTAATATCTTTAACCGCTTTCAAAAATATCTCCTTTAACTTTTGCCATTGAATTATCTATACTGTTTTATTTCTACTTCCTTTCTCTTAAACCTCATATCTAAATTTTTAGAGCTCCTGTTAGGCAAAAGCTTGTATTTGGTTAAGTAAAAGCATTCATGTGACTTTTTATGTCAATGCTGCTTTTGAATCTTGTAGCATATACTTTGTGTCAGTTGATTTCCAAGATACAGCTTTTTGGCAAATCAATGTCAGGGCTTGATCAGTTCAGGTTCAGGCTTTTCAACACAATACATTGATATTGTGCTCCCGTAAACAAGACTTAACTTTCCAGAATTAGACGGCAAAAGAATGCATTTTATCCTGGCTTGAAAAATTCAGCTGACTAGGCTTCTTTTTAAAGAAATACAGGTTGAGCATCCCTGATCTGGAAATCCAAAATCCAAAATGCTCCATAATCTGAAATGTTTTGGGCACTAACATGACAAAGTAGAAAATTTCCTATCTGACCTCATGTGATGTGTCCCTGGTAAAACAAAGATGCAGTAAAAATAACGTGTCAGATGCCCTTAGACTCCATGTATATGGTGTAGACAAAACAAATGGATTTTGTACTTAGACTTGGATCTGGTCCCCAGATATTTCATTATGTATATATGTGTACACAAATATCCTCAAATCCAAAAACATCTGAAAGCCAAAACCACTTCTGTTCCCAAGCATATGGGATGAGGGACACTGAGGTTAAATTTCCCAATTACAGAAAAGCAGAGAGGAAGTTGATACACACCGAGTGTATCAAAGCCTTTTCTGTGCCACGTTTGCTTCAGACATTTCTTGAAGCATAGAGACTTTACGAGTAATATTGAAGCCACTTCAAGCCCTTCCTCAATAGCATGGATGGATGTGCTGGTAACCAGGTCTCAACGTGGGATGAGGATAGGAGACATCTGAAATTACAGTTTGCTGATTTCTATATTGTAAACATTCCTGCCACAGTGGATTCAAGACTCTTAAGAATCACTGAAGATGAATTAGGAAGACAGGTGCAAGATTGTTTCTGGAAAACCAGTATAACCTGGCTCAGTGCACCACTGTCCCTATTACCTAAGAACCAGGGTTTTTGTTTGTTTGTTTGTTTTTTTAGGGGGGGGTCCTTGTCTTCTGGTTTTTTCTTGGCCATTACTATATATGTATTTATTTAAAACATGTTGTGTGCTTTCACTTATTTCAAATCTGGTATAAGTGGTATGACTCTCTTAGAGATTTTTTTCACTCAGCATCGTTTCTGATATTGATAGCTCTTCTGCGTTTAGCAGCAATGGGATGCTCCGTGGGGTGCCAATTTGCAGTGTGCCAACTGCATTAAGAGTGAGCGTCTTTGCTTTCTTGAATATCTTCTGTGATTTTTCTGGCTCATACCCATTGTCTGTTTTCCTGTTGGGATTTTTTTTCCCTCGTTGTATAACAGTTGTTGATGAATTCTGGCTGGAGATCTTTGTGGATTATGTGAGTTACGTATATCTCCTAATATCAGACATCTCTTTTAACTTTAATTATGGTTTCTTTGCAAACAAGTTGTATAATTTACAGGTTTGACAACTCAAAATATACTTCCTATAGTCTGAAGATTTTGTGTTGTATTTAAAAATTATCTCCCAAGTGCTAGGGTCGTGGCTCAAGTGGTAGAGTGCCTGCCTGGGAGTTCAAATTATCTGCCAAACTCAGGTCATGAACGCAACTCTACTTTTTTTTTTTTTTCCAAAAACTCCTAAAATTTTGTTGCCCATATTTGTCTTCATCTTTCTAACACTGAATACAGTTTGGCAAATGTTAGGAGACCCACATTCTTACTTCATCTGGCTACCAGTGGTCTTGTTGCCACTGAGGTGTGCAACCTTCCAGACTGGTTTGCAGTTCCACATCCCTTGTGAGCAGAGTTCACCTGGGCCTGTGGGTAGGGTCTGGGCTGTGTATCCTTTCTTCATTAGTCTGTTTATCCAGCTTTGTCTACAAAACATTGCTTATTTATTAAGTCTGCTTTGCTCTTTTTCAACACTGGCTTAGCTTTTCCTGACTCTGTCCTGACAAGTGACTTTTTTTAAAAATTAGTTTGTCACGTTTCATGAAGCACATTGTTGGGATTTTTATTGAAATTGCATTGAAAGTATAAATTAGTTTTGTCAGAATTGACATCTTTACAATGCTGAGTCACCCAAG